ACTTCAGGGGAGAAAGATCTGCTTTTTATCTGGTTCCTGAGGAGAGGGTCAGTGGCTGTGAGAAGCAGAGCTTGCTACGCAATATTTAAATAATATGCACAGATCTTTGCCCAGCACAGCTCTGGTACAAATCAAGATACAAGGGAGGGGAGGAGGCACTGTAACTTTTCTCTGCCCTTAATCTCCGTCTTATCTTTTTGCCTTTTCTCATGTCTACTCACCTCTGTTTATTTTACCCATTCTCTTGTGCCTCTTCCCTCAGCCTCTCATCCCTCTACCCCTCCTGGCACTCTTACTGCAAACTGGAGCTGTCTCAAAATTTGCCATCTGTCATGCTCAGTGGTACCCACTCTCAGTAGCGGGTAGGAAGAGTAATGATATTTGATGTCTTTCTTACAGCCCCAACTCTCCAGCATCATGTGGAAGTCATTATTATTTTTATTTTCTGAAGCAAAGATGAAACACTGATGTCTTTCCAAGTAGCCGCAGAGCCGTCCTCGGCTTCACAGGAGTCACTTTTGGTGCAAGGTGTCTCTTTGCCACAGCTTCAGAAAAATGCCGAGAATGTGACAGAGTGCCTCCTAAAAGCTCCAAATAACCAGGCAAACCTGGGAAATTTTGAACACAGACCCCCCTCTTCTGTTTAACATTCGTATGCTTTTGAAGCCATTTTTCATGGTTTCCAGGGTGCAGGATCAGGATTTCTGAGCCGTAGGAGCTGGGTGTGTTATACACAGCTCACCAGGAACGCGACTCGACCCTTTGCCATCCATTGTGTCGTGTCGGTTCAGACCCCAGACCATTTGCCTTGCCTCTCGATACTGCACAGTGAGTACCATAGCATGCTGCTGACCTTAGCTGGCGCTTTTTGATACCGGTAGAGTGAAAATGATGCTTATATAACAGAAAGAAACATGAACCTCACCTTGACCAGCCCATCTGGATAGAAGTTTAGCAAAATCCAGTCCTGCATTTTAATGCTAGCATGCAAACGACACTGCTTACTGCAACTATCCAAAAAGCTGCTTCTGCCGGCAAGCATTTCACGACTGGGAAAACTAGCTTTCCAGGAAGAAAATTAAAATAGTCTATTTTTGGTGCAGTTAGACAGCCAGAGACATTCTGAACAGGAGTGCTTGCGGTTTTTAGAGCTGGCAAGCTGTGCGTCCTAGTTCAGGACTCAGCCAGTGAGTGCTCTGCCGTGGTGTCAAAGGGAGGGAGCCAACTGAGGGCTGTCATTGCATGTAATTAGATAGGAGCAGTTGCATGTGGGCTGCGCATGGGGAATATCAAGTCTTTGAAGACTAAGCAGGATGTCTGGTTCCGTATAATGTGATGTGCTGTATTAAAATCTTATTGCATATTTTTAAAAGCCCTGAGCTCAGTTGACAAAACAGATTTTAGGATGCCACGTGTATTGCTCAGTGTGTCATAAAAGGGAGATGGCTTCCTTTTAAAGGGCAAGGCAGGAGTGTATCTACCTGTGAAATGCATTCAAATATTTGTCACTGCATACGATGTCCAGTCTATTTGAAAGAGGAAGTCTTCCATTTGTCAGAAGTTATTTTATGAAGTCCCTAGGATTAAGTCCTTTCTGATAGTTTTGAAGTAGTAGCAAACAGGGGAAGGGAGGCGGGAGGGGAATTCTCTTAGAAGCAGGAAAATCTACCTTCTCCTCTAACCTGAAGTGACTGATCCTCTTTAAACTGGAACACCCCCGGCTCAGGGACAGATATATCGTGATTCAGCTGGTGTGTCTTTGTACGTCCACAGTGTGTAAAATGAAAAGACACCCTATACCTTCCAATTATTACATTCCAGAAACAAACGAAAAATTAAACACTGTTTTGGCTTATTTTGAAATTGTAAGACAAATGTTGGATGATTCTGACTTGAAAATGCTACTGCAAAATGCCCCAAAGGAAGTAAAAATGCTTAAATTGCTTCTCCACACAAATACCCATTTCTATCATAGAAGGGTTACCCGAGTGTAGCAAATAAGGATGAGGGAAGATCAAGTTTTCTTCTCTTCCTGGTGACCAGAGCTAGAAAGTGATGAAATCAGAGTGGTTTCCTCTAGCACGTATTTTCACCTTAGCCACGCAGTGCATACATAGTAAAATTCATCAGGTAAACTGCTTTAAACCTGTGGGTTACTGAAAAAGAGACACAACATGATGAGATTGGGATTCAGCTCTGGTTAAAAGTTAATTCAGTTTGAGAAAGAGCATGTGTTTGAACACAGTGACTCTTCCCGAGCATCTCCACATGATACAAAGCCCTTACACTGTCGGGCTGTTGGGAAATTCCAGGGGTGTCAGAGTAAATAGAGAATCAGTACAATGGTGGTAAACTGATCCAGCATAAGCATTAGTAAATTTGAAAAGAATTTTACCCAAGCCCTAAATATCCCACTCCAAATCTGCTCAGAATTAACTTTCAAGTAATTTTGATTAATGTTGTCTAATTGCCTGACAAAGCAGAGGACACATTTACATTGATTCGACTGCAAATTCTCACAGCACAAGAGACAGAAACATGAAAGCTGACTCAAGTTCGGTATCCTAAAAGATTGGTAAGAAAATACCAGGGCCTTCCCTCCTCTCCGAGGGTGTAGCTTAGCCCTGTAAGGACAGGGTGCCACAAAAGCACCAAGGTCCATTAGCAATTTTTAAGCTAGCTTTGATTGTCTCACATCTGACCCGGAGCCAAAACTTTCTGAAGTCAATACAAACGTTTCCATCCCTTCTGGCTCGCACTGTATCGATGCCGTGACAGAACGGCCGTAGCCTGGGGCTCATACAGTGACACAGGCAGCGGGGGGTGAGCTGTTGCATAAGAAGTACGCTGAACTTTCTGTTTCTGGCCTTAGTATTCCACACCAGCGCCTATAGATTTGCCTGTTGAAGCCGTTATTTTTATGGAAAATCTATCCCACCAGCTGTGTTACAAGCTGAACATCATCTCTGCTCCTCTATAATCCAAAGCCAGGGACCTGAAGCTTTGTGGTTTGCTTAGCTCAGCAGAGCAGAATATTGACAGTACCGTGTAACTTGCGCTCGGGAGTTATTTCCAGGAAAATGCACGTGCCAGACGATGCCCACGAGATGGCAGCCTGTGCAGTAGAAAAATGGGACCTGCAGGGAAAGAGGATGATGCTGTACATGTGCCACCTTCCCTCGGCAGGCTAAAGCGGCCTCTGCTCTGCAGCAGCGGCCCCCACGCGCCGCACGTGGGGGAAGCGTTCGGAGAATGCCGTGCAGATGCGCCAGCTCTCACCTGCACCGCAGGACCTGAGGGGTGGGGAGCAGGTGAGACACGCTGACTAGCGTGGAAGTGCCACAGAGAAACCAGACAAGCTGGAACGTTTTAGAGGGATAGCAGGAGAATTACATCCCTGAAAACACAGGCTGGAGGGGGGATGCAATGCAATAGACCTGGGAGGCAGACGGCCAAAAAATACTTTGTGCTGAGTAGCAGCAAAGGAGCTCTGAGTTTGGAGTGCAATAAATATACATGAGCACAGGAGGGTGCTGCTCTTTCTCTGAGAGCATAAAGCAGTATCTCCCTTTCCCGGCTCCTTGGTGCCATCAGCTTGCAGGCTTCGGAAGGACATGTGTTCGATCATCCCAGACAAAGTCCCAGCTGCGGCTAGCAACTGAGTAACCCCAGATGGCTGCATCTTTCTAGAGTAAAGTAACATTCACATGAATTCACATGCGGATTGCGCATTTAGGTGATGACCAGCCACAGCCATCAGTCTGCTGGATAAGCGTCCGGGTCAGTCAGCCTGCAAAATGGTGTCTTAAGGACTTAATGCTGGTACAGGTGAAGTTGTGGAAAATTTTACTGTCATCCCTCACTAGCTAAGGGTATAAATCAAAGGTCTGGTGGTTGAAGTCCTTCTGCCCTTGTGCTCATTTGTTCAAGGACAACCCAGAACACGGCACATAATTTGCCAGTTGGTCCAAACTGGAGGAGTCTAGACACTGATTCCTACTAGAAATAACTCTGTGGAAATTAAACTTTACAGTTTCATACTGAGCATCGTTTGCCTCTCCTTAGCAGTGTGCCAGCTGGTAGTGAGGGCACAAGGATGGGTAAGGAAGTGCAGGAGAAACGGCCGAAGGGCACAGAGTAAATCAGTGTGACAGAGAATCCTGGTTTCCTTACTTACATACAAGTCTGAGTTGCCCCACGTGCAGGACAAGCTTAATACCCTCCCCTCCCCAAAAAAGGAAAAGCCTAGAGGATGGAAATATGGCAAGGTTTGAATTTTTTAAAAGAGAAGTCAAAAGTAAACTCCGTGGTAGAGTTGGAGGGGTGTGAGAGAAGGAGAGGTATTGTAGACAGTGGAGGGGCTTTTAATAGAAGGAACAGAGATGGTGAAATCTGCTGCTAAGCCCACAGATGCAGTTTGAGCACTGCAGAGAATGATTCAAAAGAGAGCAGCTACTACTCCCCACCTGCACCTGGTCCCAAACCTCACTTACATTATGCGGAAGGAATTAATCAATAGGTCTGGAATGTGAAAGCCCACAGAAAAGGCGGCTTGGCTTCTCTGATATAGTTCAATCTCTAGCTGCCAGAAGTGCTGTCGAGCGTGCCGCCTCGGCAGCTGTGTGGGGTTACCTTCTTGGCCCTTCAGTGAGACAGCACATAAGGCCAGTTTCTGGGCTCAGAGGGGGAGTCCACGGTTGGCAGGACCAGGTCTTTGTAGATAACAGGGCGCTTTCAAACCCCTTCCCCCCCTGCCTCCTCATAGAGCCCTACTTTTATGAGAAAATCCAGGACCCGGTTTCCCTGACTCGGGATCTTTGCCTCCTCTAACAGTTGCATCACTGGTAAGAAATTGTAACCGCTCTATTACAGAAATATGGGGGCTCATTTTTCCAGTCTAGGCAGTGCGTAGGAGATCATTTGGACTGGCACCCTCCCAAGCATAATGTTCTGAAATGTCATTCTGCTCCTGGGTGAAGCTTGGATTCCTCCCAGCTTACCTTGTCCTTTGGCTTGCAGCATCTGCGCATCTTGCCCCCGTCTCTTGGCATGCAGGTGCCTGAAGGTGTAGAGTAAAGTGCTCTTCATGCTGGGGGAAAGTGAAAATAGATGTATTTTAAATCCTAAAGGGCTGGGCTCTGCGTAAGTCCTTCTGCTTTGTTCTTGCCGTTGTGCAAATGCCCACTTTCTGAAGGGGCCCCTGGATGAAAGGGAGATGCTTTGGAGCAGCGCAGTGAATGTTCAGGGCCTACTGACAGGACTCCAGCTGCTCAGAGCCACTCTAAACTGGGTCATTTTTAATGCTCCTCGTGGGGAGCAGAGAGCTTAACTTTAAGCACTTGGATTTGGAAGTTTGGATTTAAGGTTTTAATGATAAACTTTGCATGTGGATTTTGGCCACTCCCTTCCTCTGGCATTTGTTTTTTCTTTCTGGCAGATTCCCAAGGGTGCCAGAAAAACAGGGAATTTGACTCAAATTCAGACAACGTGCCACAGAATGACTCACTTCTGTGATAATGTTTCTACCTCCAAAACCAGCTTCCTTTCCAGCAGAGCCCACTGGCATTGCTCTGACAGTGCACAGGGATCTCCACACAGTTGTGCCCTCAGATCAGTAAGAATCTAAGCCATTTCAAAGCTGAGTTCTTATCCGGGTTGCTAAAGAATATTATGTTTCTGAAAGCTATATGTCACATAGAGGCTGTTAAATAATGAATGCCAGGATGCATAGCTAAGTGTTGACACACAAAAGAAGCTGTCTTCCAAGCACCAGCTTCTCTGCCTGGCAGCAGCAGCCGGGCATGGTTTATCTAAATTTGCTCAGCTACTTTTTAAGTCCATGAAGTTGTGGGTTTTTTCTTTTCTTTCATTAAATAGCTTCTGATAAGAATTTATTTTCCTAAGGGAAATAGGAAGGACTTGAAAGTTTCTGAAGAAAATCAGGGAAAAAACCCACTATGAAATGTAATTGTGTATTCTAATTTCCAAAGCATTTCTTTTCCCCTCCTGAGCTATCGTTTGACATCCAAGGGAAAGGAGTTGGCCAAACCAGATTAAAATATGCTCAAGTTTGGGCAGTAGAGCCTCAGAACCAACATTTGTCCCTAGCCCTGCAGGGTTTTAATCTTAGGCATGGAAGAAGTCAAAATCAGTTCTTTACCCTGTAGTGCCTGTACTACAGGGGCTGAGCAGAGGCTCGGAGAGGTCAACAGAGACTGAAACGAACGCCGTGCCTTGCAGTGACTTTGTGCAGCTCTCTCCTGGTTAAAAACACTCAGGGAGTGGCTTTGAGTTACATCACGGAGTTTTGTCAGCACAGACGTGGGCAAAGCGGTACCGCTCTGTGCCCAACCTGCTCTCCCTGTTCTCTCTTAACAAGCCCTTGTCTTCCTTGCTGTGTTGTGTGATTATAATAAAAGTGGTTCTTGCTCCTCTAGAAAATGCCCATCCCTCTCTGGGCAGATTCACTGGGCAGAGCCAAAGAATTGTTCGATGGTGTCCTTAAGTAGGCTGGGGTTTAGAGCAAACACAGACGAATCAAGCACCAGCATAGAAGTCAGCATCTGCTTAAATACTCAGTATTCAGAATTCAGGTAAATTTAAAGGTGCTAACTTTTTGAAGTCAAAAGGCATTCTTAATGTTCAGGAAGTTAATCATGCATCAAGTGCTTTGTTGCACAGGGAACCAAAGGAAAAAAAAAAAAAAAAAAAAAAACAAAAAAACAAACAGCTTCACATTGCACAACAGGGTTTTTAGATTTGCTGGCCTCAATTCCAATTTTTCTTTGTTCCATAAAATCATGTGTTAGCAATGAGATTTATGCTAGGAGTTCCTTGGAGTCTCTTGTTGACAACTCCTTTTCTCTTTTTTTTTTAAAAGGTGAATTTATATACAAATGTAGCCATTTGTAAGCAACCAATATATTCAATAACATTTCCCCCCTGTGGTACATTTATGCTAGAAATCCAGAATTTAGAAACTCTGAAATGCCAGAGTCCTTAGAATGCTGTCTCCATTTGATTTCCTTCAGTTACATTTGCATTTCAGTTTTACAGTGCACTGGCTGATGAATATTAAACAAGGTCTACATACATTTCTTGGGTTTGCTTTTACAGACTCTGCTAGTACACAGGTTTGGTTTGGTTCGGGATTTTTTTGGTTTGGTTTGGTTTGGGTTTTTTTTTTGACAGTGCCCTTCTTGGTGCCCTCCATTCCATTCTTCTTTTGTTCCCTGATTGTTCTCAGAGACAAGTGACAGTGCGAGACAGGAGGAGAATGATTACATTTTGCAGGGAAATTATACAGAGTAGAAAATCAATAGTTAGATGCTCCCTGGGACTGCCTAAAACTTCTTTGAAGAATAATTAGCTTGCAAGAGAGCTCGGCTGGCTGGAATTCCTCCCCAGTTCTGTATGCATAAGATAAATTTAGTCTGGGATAAGCAGTGTGCTTTGAGGTCTCTGCCTATCCGGGGAAATGATTTGTATGGAGAGAATGAAGGAATTAGCTAGAAGAGGTATGGAAGAAAGCCTGGCTGGCCATGTCCATCCTGGGCTCGGAAGCAAGCAGCAAGCAGTGACAGAAACGGGAAACTGAGCAGAACGAGTCAGGGAGGGGAGGTCGGGGTTGGGGCTCAGCGCCTGGTTAGCCAGGTGACTCTGCTCAGATGGCAGCTAGCCACGGGACTGAGTGCCATGCCCCAGAGCTGAGTGCCTGCCCGTGGGGGGAATCAAGCCCGCAGGCAACTCAGCAGCTGTAAAGGGTTCGTTTGCTGAAGCAGCACCAGTCAGATCCAGGGCTGTGCCTGACTTGGAGATCAGCAAAGGCTTCCTGAAGTTGATGGAGAGCAGCAGGGGACTCCTGTTGAGCCCCACCGCTGGGTGCTGACCCCATTGTCAGTATGCTGCTGTGCTATTCATAGGATATTGCTACAGGTAACCCTAAAGTTGGGAGAGGAAGTGTGGGGTTTAATAGCTTTGTTGGTTTGAACTCGTCCAGACAGAATTGACCTAAGAGCGAGATTAGTCTAGCTCTCCAGAACTGTCAGTACTCTGGTTTTCAGAAGCATAAAAGTCCACTTGAACTGCACAGAAAGCTGCTATGAGAGGTGTCAGTAGCAGTTCATGGCAGACTAAGTGACATTTAATCAATTCGTTAACTCCTTAGAAGAAAGGACTAATAAGGCTGAAAAACTTGCTGGAAGCACAATATAACACGTATTAAGGGAGATTTGAGAAAGGTACACCAAAACTAGATAATAAAGCAGCACAATAGCAAAAGAAGTCATCATAGCTGAGATGATCACAGGGTAACAGAATGATTCCTGCTTTTCACTCATCCATGGAGATAGATGCTTAATAATTTTTGGCATTTGCATTCTTATAGTCGTAAGCACTGTATAAGAACACATCTTTAGTTTGCTTGGGTTTAGTGTTTTTTCCTTAACGCATCCATTCTTAGAAACTAGAAAAACATCCAAGCACATGCGTAACATTAAGCATGTGACTCATCCCCTCTACAGCCACAGATGTCTCTCACTCCTGCAATTAAATATGTGCTAAAGTGGTCTGTTGGAGCAGAGCCCAGCAGTACTGTGTGCAGGTTTGAGCTCATCAGTACAAAAGTGGTGCTAACAAGAAGGTCTAGAATTATAGACCTGTCCGTGTAGCTTCAGTTCCTGGAAAAACACTGGAACATATAACCAAACAAACTATTTGTGAGCACCTAGAAGAAAATGAGGAGATGAGTAACAGGCAGCATGGATTTTTTTCGGATGCAGACCAGCCTAATTTCCCACTGAAATAGGGCAACACCCTGAGTTTGGTTTGGATTTTGGATCTGTTTCACATGCACCCTTATAAGGATAGCATGGGTGCAAAAGTGGTTGGAAAACTGATAGAAGGATGGTTTGGGGGGAGGTTCTTGAGGGGGATGTTTTGTGTGCATGTCTTGCATTTCCATACGTCATCTGGCTGATGGAAGAGAAGGTATGCAATTTCAGTTGGCTGCTGACACCACGTTGGAACAGGCTGTGAGCACACTGGGCAGGATTTGAGTTCAATATGATCTTTGCAAACTAGAGATGTGGTGAAAACACAAAACCAGCTCACGATTCAGCAGGAACAGTGCGTAGTGCCTCTGCTGAATATAGAGATATTTGTTGCAGTAAACTCTTAATATAGGTTATTATATAGTTACAACAGGTTGGGGAATGACAGCTACATGTGTAGTTGATTTATAGATAAGGATGAAAGATTTTGATGGCTCACAAGTTGATGGTGACTAAACAACGGTGTGCTGTAGCAGAGAAGGCACATCATGTATGAGCAGGGCTGTTGCCACAAGGCAAGTGCCATAATCCTTGAAGTCAGCTCTGTGCCAGCAAGCAGGAGCACAGCGCTCGCTTGTGGCCAGCGTACCTCGAGATTGAGCTGGGCGACGTTTAAGTATGAAAAGGAAATCACTAGGGCTGATCAAAGGTCCAGAAGACTTGATCTGACAGGAAAGACTGCAGGCGGGTTTCATCCTCGGGAGAGGGAAACCGGGGGAGACTAAATCGCGTCCAAAATGTTGTCAGCAGCTGCAAAGGGAAAGGGGAGTGATTTGGTCTTACACACCCTGGCAGTTAAGACAAGAAACTGTGGGCTAAGGGATAATTTGGGCACTTTCATTTTTAGTAATTAATCCGGTACTAAGAGAGTGTGAAGGACTGGAGCAGATTCCCTGGGACAGGTGAGTCTCTGACACTTAGAAAATAAGCCAGACCTCTGTTTGTAAGGCATGACCTATGCAAGTCCTCCCTTACACGGACGGATGGACAAAATGACCTCTGGAAATCCCTTGTAGACCTCTGGTTCTGCTAGGGTTAATTTACAGTAGTCTACCAGCATAAATCCAGGTTAATTTAACTGTGTCAGTGCCAATAATCTGGGATTGATGGAAAGGGAATCTTGTCTTCTCAGCAATACAACTATAGATATCCAGAGGTTTTCTACTTTGTCACTGAGAAGTATTAAATGTGTAAGCACAGAGAGGAGCAGGGTAGGAGAGTGCACAAAGCAACTAATAGATCACAATATCTAACTTGAAAC